CTTAAGTGAGTTCAGGTCTAGACACCCGGTAAATTTGGTGCTTCTAGCTTTCTTAGTTCCCGAGATCTCAGCGGGGGATCAAATTACCCCCCACCCCCCACCCCCACCCGAGCGAAGGATATCTAGCCAGTCACACGGGCGCGTGTTAAGCCAAGCAAGTTTTCATCCCCTGTTGCGCGCTGAAACTGCATTCAGTTGTTTCTGGACTGGCGGGCAGGGTCACAAAAAGATGATCAAGATCGAGCGCTGGAACTGCGTTCAGTTCTTTCTGAACTGGCGGACAGGGTCATAAAAAGACGATCAAGTTTGAGGACTTATGGGATGAGCTCTCACGGGTTATGCCTCAGCTGCGAAAATCGACCTGGGGAGATATCTTCGCCCCTTTGGCAAACGGCAACAGGCGGGTGGCCATTTGCCCGTCTGGTGGCGCTGCCCCTGGGCCCCTCCGCAGAGTTGGTATACGCAGCTTCTACGCGACAAAGATACGAATGTTCCAAGCTTGATAAAGCAGGGGAAATGAGTGAAACTGTGTCTCATCACGTTACATGAGTGGTATGTCACGACGTAAATGGGGTTAAAACAAAACGCATTTGATGTCTGTCCCGATAGCTCAGTTGGTTAAAGCGTCTGTATTCGGATCTACCCACCCGCGGCGAGGTGGCGCGAGTCGCTGCGGACGCACTCCCCTCGTCCCGGACAGGTATGGTCTGTGACCGGTGGCAGCGGCCGCGCTAAAGGTCAGGCAACACCAGAGGGCAGGACGGACCGTATCGTGCCATCCGCACATTAAACTTCTGCCACCCAATTGTGTCGTCGACTTGAAATTGTGTGATCGGTGTTATGGTGTTCACACGACAAGCACTGCTTAGCGGGAGCTCGGATCCCAGAAATCCATCCATTTAAAAGGGCTGGGATTAAATATTTAAAGTATGTGTAAAGCTTCATGTGTACGACGAGTTGAAAATCCGTGCCCGCCTGATGGCGGACATTTGAGATCCCTTTAAAAAAATATGGCGGACCGTAGGAATAAAAGAGCGCAATGCCCGTAAAATTCTGAGAACTATTTCCTCAGACACATAGCCAACAGCTTTCTCACAAAGCGAAACGTCAAATGTTTCCCGGAATCCTGCGAATTTGGACTAAATTTCTCTGAAATTTCCCTCGGCCTAGTGAAAACCTCTACGCTCAAAGGACCATGTTCCCTTTGGCACATCCTTGTCCAGCTGGCGGGGCCTTGTTAAACTGGTAGCTGGTGAGAACTAGAGCATTTCGATGACATGTTGTTATGACTATTTTGATATCTATGGAATGATGATCAAGTCATCATTTGAAAGATGCATCAGACGTGTTCGGATGGTCGCCCTCTACACAACGCCACAAGTCGTCGTCTCTAGATAGCAACGAAGCTCATAGCTTATTGGTTATATGGGGGGCGGTGAGAGTACATATGCTTAGCCGCCTCCCCCCCCACTCTGTCCCTACCCCCCCCATCCCGCCCCTTGCCATTATTTCTAGACGCGAGGCCGCAGAGATGTATTTTTAGCCAAATCCTGACAAAGTTGGCAGAAACTGAGCCATAACCAAAGCTGAAGCCGCGCCACACATTCTGTAAACGCATATTTTGCTGCATTCGCCACCAACCCGTTAAAAACGCCTTTGTTCCCTATGGGGCAGGTGAACACGCGGCATCAAAGCTAACGTTTTACCGGTCTTACCCAACTTCTTTCGCTTTGGGTGACGAAGCGCGAAAGAGTTCAAATATTGTTTGCGGCCCACGCTTTGGCGTTTTTTAGCCTTGGATCAAAAAGCGGCAGGGTGGATCTTAAAGTATAAGGGGGTCAAACAAGACATGACCTGGAATTGAGGCATAATGCACCGTTTCAACAAGGGGCAACCCGGTATCGTCTGGAGATGTCAGTAAAATAATGTAAATACGCTGTTTCACCGAATGGGGAGAGTATTTTTCGGTTTTTTCTATCGTATATGATCGAGCCGAACTATATTAAAAAATATATTGAGTGTTTGCATGGGCGATTTTATGCTCATCACACGTGCTCGGTGATGCTTGATGCGGTTTTTTCTGATCCCACCAAACAAAGTAAACTGATCTAGTCCATCGACCAACTTTCCTTACGCGACCTTTCCGCCAGCCAGGGAATGCAGCGAGTTTTACGTGCCGAACAGCACTTCATCGCGGTCGCGCGAATCAGCTTGGCGCCGTTTGGCTAGTTGCCAGCAGACGTACCCTCGACAGCCGGGTAATCCAACACGCCCGCCCCTGGGCGTATTGCACAACTCATCACGACACCGCTGGATTGCACCAGCACCAGCACCACCGTGTACGACTGAGCACCGCTGGATTGCAATCGCAGCATCCATCCATTAGACCACGGGACACACGACCGTTGCACACCTCACAATGCTCGCTCTGCGTCCCTGCTCCTGTCTCCACATTAGGAGTGCCTATACAGACTGGCAAGATGAGGCGGTCCAAAGCCCTTTACAGGTCCGCGCCATGGACTTGGGATCAACTAGGCTTTACTTTGCTCAATTCAGGCAAAGCCCAGCGCGCCACGAACTCCTCTGTGTCGAGAGCCTCCGTCCTCTGCCGCTCACAATAAGCAGTCCTCTCTTGGTCCATGCGCTGAACAGTGGCGCAGCCGCGGCTCTCCGGCTGGAGTGCAGTTCTTCACCGCGGCTTTACTGAATATGATTCCTGAATCTGGAGATCAGGAAAACTATTTAAGTCTTACCGACAATACTATGGACATCGGCACGTGAGTCCAACAGCGGCAATTTGGTACCAGGACTAGCGGATGTCCCAGGGAATACACGGCTGAAGAAATTGTTTAAGGCACCAGGGCAAACCAACAGTGATAGCTCATTTATATGGTAGGTGTTGTACCAACAAGTGTTGATTGTCTGTTTATAAGTGTTCATTGTCTTTGGGTCTATTTGTCTGTTCTTAGTGCGTAGGCACTGACAATGGCCGCGTTCGATCCGTCGTCGACACGTTTGTCAGCATCAATCACGGCCCAGTATTCTCCCTACGCCGCGCAACGTGACCACAAAGTTAAGTGGTTGGTTACGTCACGCGCTGGCTGACGATGCTGCCAGGATTTTTGTCAGCCTGTGAGCATGGACAGAAGGCACCGCCAGATTAAGACATCACTCTGACAAAGAAGCAGGAGTTCGATTTGGTAGGTCTTGCGTTGGAGAGTTTGTTAGGTGAAGTGAAAACACTTGTCTCTAATTTTGGGTGGAATGCGACATAGGATAGGAGAAAAGGGAATCGAACTTTCAAGAGTAGTCATGGAAAGGTGAGTGACAGTGATTGGTGTCGCGTGTAGTTGTGTTCCTCAGTAAATTAATAGCGTTAGAGTAGTCGTTAAGGCAGAGAACGGGAACGCGAGGCCTCGCATCTCAAACATGGGCTTGGTCAGCAAAGCGGAAGTACAATGAAAGGATGGGCCTCATGCCAGCACAAGTAGCAGTGAAGGGTTGATAGACTTTTTGGACACAAAAAGTGCGTGAACACTTAAGATGAGAAGGGAATAAATTTAAATGACATGGCAATGGGAAAAGCGCTCAACTTACAGATGACATAGATCGTAGGAATACGGGAGCAGGAGCCACACTTCTAAACACCACTCAATAGGCAGTGTGTTATGGTCGGCGGTAAGCCCGAGTTAGTGTGCGGTCTGAAGTAGTTAAAAGGTAAAGGGAAAAGAACGGGGGGTAAAGTTTGAAAACTTTCTCGGCAGCCGACACATCGGACGCTCCGTCAGCACACATGATATCACGCATTTCAGCTGACAAAGGCGCTTGCGACATATCAAACGGGGCTAATGTGGCTGCAAGTCGCTCGAGAAAAAAAGCTCGTCTCAAATTAGGAAAGTCCATCTCGTCGCAAATTTTGGCTTCGCCGCTGCCGCTTCGTGATGTTGGTGTAGTACCTATCGCTCCTCCAAGACGCAGACAATGATCAGAAGCTGATATCCACCGAAATCGGAGTCCATGATCCACCTGACCTCAGCCTTTTTAACCGGCTGTCACTCCACCTTTTCCCACACGCCATTGCTACCGTGCCGCCGCGAGCGAGAATTCACCTCAGAAAGATGCTGCTCGACACCAAAAAGGAAGGCTATGCTTTCCTGGTCGTGAAAAGGCTGTCAGCTCGTCACTTTAGTTGTCAGGACGTTTCGGCAACTTTTCTTCATTTAGTGCTTTTATGTCCTTTTGCGTTATTTCTTTTCGGCATCTTATAATTTATTCGAACTAATTTCCGAATAAAAGAACAGATCTGTAATCTCGCACGAACTTCGTTCTGAAAACTTCTTAAAAGTTTAGGGTTTTCACACCAGAACGTTAGAGCCGCAAACCGGGATAAGGAATTTCCCGGGTGACATGGATCGATCACACATGGGTCTAAACACAATAGTAGGCTGCGAAAACTAAGCCGGCTTTTAGCATGCGATGAAACAGATACCTTAGTTATGCATTAAGTGTGTAGATAGGAAGGTCTTCTGAACCGTCGTGAATAGTGCACGACGGTTCCGATAAATCGCGTAAGAATCAGAATGATTGCGATGTGAATTTAAACTCTAGAGGACCAAAGCATGTTATGGTCGCTATTTCACATTTTTACAGAGCCACATAATTCGGCCACGCGACCCTCTGGCCGTTCCACTGCACACCACGTAGACACTAGACAAGCCAATCTATGTCAGTTTCTGAACTGACTTTGCGTGCAAAAACGAGAATAATGATACCGACTTTTGGCCACATTTCGTCGCAAGTTATTCCTGCGCAGTCACACACCGTGGCAGGGTCTCGGCCGCGCGAGCGAGCCCGGCCGCAGTCTACTAGCGGAGCCGCGCGTGCTAAGCTCACACTTGCAGTTGACAAAACAACCGTCAGAGGCGCTGGCGTCGATATGGCGTCAATATCGCGCCGCCGTGCCCTTGAAACACGTTCGCACTTAGCAGCGGGGTCGTGAGTGGTGCGGGAGCGCGCCGCAGTGGGTGGCAGCAGGGACTGCGTGTAGCGCGGAAGGAGGGAGCGAGAGCGAGAACCTTAGGTGTGGACCGAGTGCGTGCGTCACCAATTAGCTCCAGTAAACAGAAGTTCCTGGAGGCATGGTGAACTGGAGTCGTCGCTCGGCGTGCAAAGGGGAAGCGTTCGGCAAAGCCCCAATAGCATTACCATCTCTTCCCAACTTGTCCGTGGGAAATCTCCGGGTTCTGGCCAGTGGACCGGGGGCTGAGCGAGCCTCTAGAAAACTCGTCATTGTCGTGCATTGACTTGCCGTGCCCGAGTTGCAGCTGCAGACAACCAACGGACATTGCAGACACGGCTGACCGGTGAGTGGAAAATCACCGCCGGTTACAGGTAACCAGCTTTTGGATCTGGGAGTAGTCGCAGGGTGCCGGCCCAGCGGCCAGCTTTCTTGCCGTGGGAGTTTGGGGCACGGCAGTCAACACCAGCTCTCTGGTTCCTATAACACCGGCGTCCGGCTGCGTCGAGCTCGGTGCTCCGGTGAGCTCGGTGTTCTTCAGGCAGCAATATCAGACTCCATGCACATGTCCCATGCTGTAGTTGACTGCACATAGTTGTATCAAGACATGTTTGGCCCACGCGTATCACCGGAGGCTTCCTCCCCAGTCTCCGCTCCCTGGCAAAACGCCAGCCAACGAGCCGTTACCTGTTTCCGTCTCCTTCCCGTGTATCCGGTTTTATCTGGTTTGTGGCCGGTCTGTTGTTCGCTCTCTGACATTGCAACCAGACGCCTGCAGGGCACACCGGCCCATTTCCGCCCGCTCCGACGCGTGCGCTCGGCTCGTCCGGCTGCGCGAACTTGACCTTACGGCACGGGCGGCCTCCACGCCGGTCAGGCGATCAGCTGACACGAACGGCTGAGGGTTGAGGGAGCGGCGGCCGGCCAGCCGGCGCCGGCGGCGGTCGGGTTACCACATTTGTTGCCGCCCGCCTGCACACCATTTGGGCAACATTTGCCGTTCGGCGACCGTCGGGAGCTCAATGTTCGGGGAACACGAGTTTTGCAGTCGCGACACTGGACGCCATCCACGCTGTTGTCCCTTTTCTCATGTGTGCGGCTGGCTGCTGGTTACGTTTGCTTAGGCGTGCATCATCGTCGGGCACCTTGCCAACATTTTCCATTCCGAATCGTTGCGAACGTGGACCAAATGCCTGCGAAATGAACCATTATCTAGTGTAAACCTCTGGTGCAGGGGAAAACGCGTTGTTCCCCCTGCCCCCTCCTCTTGGCGACGACTTTGATCGCTGATGCGCGCTTTGATAACAAATTTGATAATGCGCGCCTTGGGATGTATTAGAGCGTTTCGATAGACGTCATGGCACAGCGCCACAACTCGCGCAGAGCCCAGAACGGCTGTAGGACAATGATGGAATCCTTTGTATCTTGTGTTACGTGATGTGTGGGCGCACGTCGATGTCTGCAGCCCGCCCGTTATGTAAACGTGGAAATTGCCTGAGCGTTATATAGGTAGGTTACATAAACAGATTGCACGGACGTAAGCGTTAGATAGGTACACAAAGTTGAGTGATAACAGACAGTTGCGTAGGTAGTCAGGGGCGGCGCGGCGGATTTTGATGTGGGACAGGATTTTCCAGGGGGTCTCCTGAACAAAATGGGTCCTCCTCAACGAGAGTCTCCTGGGCAGTAGCATATGCAATGAAAGAGGCACTGAGAGCATACAATTTTGAGTTGGCAAAAGCATGGTCTTACCCCCCCCCCCCTGCCCCTCCCTTCTGTGTCGCTCTTGTGGACAGAATGTTATATAGATAGATTGCATCGACGTACGCGTTAGATAGATGCAATAAGTTATGTGATGATTGCATAAAACTGCTAATACCTGCGTGCCGTAGTCAACACTTTACGTTGAACATTTACGTCTCCGTTCATGAATGTCTTTTGTGATGATAATATGCTTCTGGTGAGGATGCTACACGAAACAATAAATCCACGTTCTGTACATGTTTCCTGTTGGTTCAGCACTGACTTTGGGTCCTGTTTGTCGTTACAGAAGCAGACTAGATATGCCAGCACCAGCTGATCCGGACCATATCCTTACGAACGGGCACAGCCCGACCGAGCAGAGCTCGTACCGGACCTCAGGTGAGCTTACCACGGGATGCCAGCCCTTAGCACGCCTCAGAACACAGCTGCGAGCGGATGAACTAGCTAGCACGCCTCAGAACACAACTGCGAGCGGGTGAACTAGCTAGCACGCCTCAGAACACAGCTGCGAGTGGGTGAACTAGCTAGCACGCCTCAGAACACAGCTGCGAGCGGGTGAACTAGCTAGCACGCCCCAGAACACAGCTGCGGGCGGCTGAACTAGCTTTATAAATGTGCTTGTGAGCAAGGTATTGAATAACTAAGCCATTAATGCCCCGTAATGTATCTTTTTAAGTGTTATTTCTTAACAAAACGGTGCATGTGTTACTGGTATGCATGTGTTATGTTACGTTCTGAAAGCCGAACATCATCGACTCTAATTTAGCACCTTGAACAATCTGTTCTCAACGCATCGAATGATAGTTGTGATTCCGTTTTTCCAACAGTTTTTCCACTGACGTGGCGCTGTTCACCTTCAGGGCATTTTACAGTGTATCTGCCGGATCTTTTGCACTAGTGTCATCCAAAATTTGCATTTTCATACGCCACAACAGTTCTCAGTACGAATACTCAAAGCCGTACCAATCATAGGTCATACCCACAAATATCACAATGTGATAGCCACGTATTGTGAAAAGGACATAGGTATAGAATGTGCAAGGACATCGTAGGCCTAGTATGGTAAACCAACACAATACTGTGCATGACAGCACAGCAAGCTAAGCATGAACAAAAAGTAAGTGTTAGTGTACAAGGTACTAGTGGCCTTTTTTCGTCGAACAACGAGAGAAAAGGACGTTTTTGTATTTGGTCAAAGGCATTAAGCCAAAATATCAATGCAGCTCTTTTTAGCACTGCTGGTATGCATTTGTATCGATCCTCGCCGTTGCACGAAACAGCAAACAAAAAAAAGAAGTCCGTAAAACACGAAGAAAATAAAGTTGGTTGTTCATACCATACCTACATCGATCTCTTCACTGTCTACCCTGCCGACTCTGATTGTTCGCGCTTTCAGATCTCAGTCAGTACGCGGTGAAGAGTTCCGCACTGGATGTCGTCCCCGCCCCCGATCCGGAAGAGGTGGGCCAGGCGCCACCTCCATCCGAGGTCGCCCTGCTGGAGGACGTGCTGGTGGGCCTGCCGCCCGCCGACCCCGGTGCGGGCCGGCCCGAGTACCACCTGCTGCCGCACTCTGTGCCCGACAACTCGCTCTACTGGCCGGACGGCGAGGCGGACAGCGTGCTGCCGGTGGAGGCGCTGTTCGAGCAAGTGTCGCGGCGCGGCAGCAGCGAGAGCTTCCCCGAGGTGAAGGTGACGCTCCCGCCGCGCCGCTATCGCCGCATGGTGTCCTACAGCCGCACCGCCCTCGCGCCGCTGTACGGCGCCGAGCCGGAGCGGAGCTCCTCCATCCCGGTGCACCTGGACCAGATCAGGTCAGTGGCGGGTCGCACCGGAGCAGGTCAGGTCAATGGCGGGCAGGTCAGGTCAGTGATGGGTCGTACCGAAGCAGGCCGGGTCACTTGTGGGTCACACCGAAGCAGGTCAGGTCAGTGGCGGGTCGCACGGAGCAGGTCAGGTCAGTGGCGGGCCACACCGGAGCGTGTCAGATTGGTAGCGTGTCATCACGGAGCAGGTCAGTGGCGGGTCACATGGAGCAGGTCAGGCCAGTGGCGGGTCACGTGGAGCACTTCAGGTCAGTGGCGGGTCACATGGAGCAGGTCAGGTCAGAGGCGGGTCGCACCGGAGCAGGTCAGGTCAGTGGTGGATCACACGCAGTGGTGGATTGTCAGGTTGGTAGCGGATCACCATGGAGCAGGTTAGGTCAGTCCTGGGTTACGCGGAGTGGGTCAGTCGCGGGTCACATGGAGTGGGTCTGTCGAGTGTCACGTGGAGTGGGTCTGTCGAGTGTCACGTGGAGTGGGTCTGTCGAGTGTCACGTGGAGTGGGTCTGTCGAGTGTCACGTGGAGTGGGTCTGTCACGGTGGCGCACGGGGCAGGTCATGTCATTCGTGGTCAAACACGCAGCAGGTCAGGTCGGTCACAGGTCACATACGTGGCAAACCGGGTCAGATAAGTAACACCACACGCGTGTATGCTTGTTGGAGGCACTTAAATGTTGATTGATTTCAAAGTTCATTTGGGCATCGATCGCGAGTGTCAGGAAAAGCAGTGCAGTCGTAAAGGGCGGGAGTATCCAACTATCCGGGACCCAATGAACGTATCGCGCCCATTGAGCCTCGGCGTGCTCCTGTCCGGCCGGAGGCATCAAGAGCCGCCTGAGCAGCCGCTTCGACTCGGACCAGGGGGTGTGGTGCTGACCGAGCTGGTCCTGACCCTGCCAGCCAGGACCCGTCGGCGGGGGGCGGGTTCACCACGACACAGAAGAAGATCCTGCTCTGCATCGGTCTGGGAGAGCTGCTGCAGGGCTGCTGCGGTGCCGTCCTCATCCCGTTCTTCCCCACTGATGTGAGCATGCGGTGCGCCAGGCGCCAGCTGAGCGCCCTTGCTCGTGTGCTCGTCGGGGGTGGCGTTCCTTTAGATTTGTTTTTGTAAGTTGGAAGCAATCTTTCTGGGAGTCGCCAGCGTGACTGATCGCTCCACGCTAAACGATGAACGCCCCAAAAAGACTGTTCGCATGTTTGCGTTATGTTCATGCATCAACTAATATGTCTAGCGTTTAGCAGGAAAATGCTTGAACAACTCCAGTGCGTTGCATTTGTGCATGCCGCCGACTCGTCAGGGCCTAAGAAGTCGGGCTTCCACGTCTCATCCCCTTCACGCGGACGCGGGCAAGCGCTGTGTGGGTGCTTGTGATCGGCCTATCGACATCTCCGCCTCTGTCACGCCGCAGGCCCAGAACCGCGGTGTTTCGGAGTCGGTGATTGGTCTCGTGTTCAGCAGCTACGCGCTCACGCAGCTGGTGATGACCCCGGTGACGGGTAAACTGGTAAGTGTGACGGGTGAACTGGTAAGCGTGACGGGTAAACTGGTAGGCGTGCCGGGTAAACTGGTAAGCGTGGCGAGCAATTTGCTAACCGTGACGGGTAAATGGGGGTGCAAAGGCTCTGTCCCAGTGTAGTCTGAGTTATTCCCGTCATCACATGGGTGCCATCTCAGCTCTCTGCCAGGGGTGTAGGGCTCTGACTCGGCTTCTGCACAGCAACATAAACACGGGACAAGATGCGCTGGATCGTTTTAAATTCTGAGCCATCGTGTCTCTATGCGTTGTTTTGCTTCTTCTCTTGGTCTTTTGACGGTTACGGCTTGCGAACTGCACCAGCAGCTTAAAACTTTGTTCTTAAACGAGTACGATAGCTGTCTCGCCTCGAACTTTGTTCAACCGTCTCGGTTATGCCATTCGTACATCACTGGCCTATATCGTACCGGAATTGGTACCGGAGCTGGCGCTTATTCGTCCTGACGATGCTGCTTTTTGTTCGATATGTCCCTCTTGGCAGAGGGCTCCCATGTGTCGTATAAAGTCAGGAGTTTGAGACTGGTCACCCTACATCGTACCGGATGTCACAGATCAATTGCGCACCTCGCCTTCGCAATTAATAATTGAAACACGGTGCAAGGTCTGTCTGCATGCAACGTGAAGGCGGCGTTGATCACCTGTGAATCGCTCGTTGCGGGGGAGCGGTGCCATGTCAGGCTGTGACGATAGTTTGACTACTGAGGTCTCATTGAATGTGTGGGCCAGACGGCAAGGAATCACGTGTTGTCGTTTCTGAGATTGCCGGCGATGTTTGCACAGATGGACTGACGGAAAGGGCTGAATCATTAGCATGGCTGCTGGTTGTTATGTTCCCTGGGGGGTCTCCTCACTTCGCTTACATATCCAAGACGCACGTTCACCAAGACGCCGCCATGTGTTTATTAACCGACCATTGCGCCAGTGATTAATCGGTCATTGACCGTTGAGCGTGTCATTGACTCCCAACATTGATCAAAGGACAGCAGTTGTATGCGTAAGTTTTCTGTCAGTGGAGTGCGGGGTTTACAGCAGGTGAACCGAGACGTGTGATCCGTTAGAAGTGCTCTTGATAACAGCTGTTTTTCCCCGACAGATACCAAAGTTTGGAATGACTCAGGTTTTGTACTTCGGTCTGTTGTTGGCCGGGCTGGCTACCATTGGGTTTGGGTAAGTGATGGCAAGTTGAAGGACAGCTCGATGCATTTCGCATTTTTGGCGCTGTAGAGCTGTGCAGAACCAAAACACACCAGCGGTCGCGCCAGACGTTGGCGTTTGCTGGCGATTGCGAGTCACTGATTTTGAAGCAACGACGCCAGAGAGTGCTTTTATCTCTCTTCATCATTGATTCACTGGCAGCTCATGTTTCAGCAGTTGTTCCCCGCATGGCTACAAAGGTTGCTTTATAAACTCACCTATGCACCGTCCGTGTAGAGGGTCCTTGCTAATCCCATCCACAGAAATCCTCGGCATAGTTAACCTTCCTACAGTCAAGGGCGCCAGACTTGACAGCAGAAGTTGTTTTCCACTGTCGCCATGGCACGCGTCTCTGGTTGAGGTCAACGCTGTTGTTGTTTCAGGGCGCTGGACTTCGTGGCGAACGACACGCTGTTCATAGCACTGTGTTTCGTCGTTCGGATCATTAGCGCCGTTGGAGCCTCGCTCTTCGTGACGTCATCGCTGACATTCGTCGCGAATCAGTTTCCAGGCGAGTGGAATACGTGACCTAGCCTTGAATCCTGACTCGGCCATGCTCGTCTGCCGTTGGTATTGGCACCGGAAGGTTGTGTTTTTTATTCCTTGACGCTAAAATGCTGCAATTCCGTGGCCATTTTAGGACCGTTCTTATCGAAACAGACCGAGCGCCCGTCACGTTGCGACCGTAGTGAAACAGCAAAGGCTACGGCTTGGGGAGAGCCGGCGAGTAGCCCTGCGTTTACCACCTGCTGACGCGCCACCCTCGCCGCCGCCCACAGATAACCTGAACTCGGCTGTGGGGGTGGTGGAGACGTGCTCAGCTATCGGGGTCTCGATAGGGCCGGCCATCGGCGGCGGCCTGTACGAGGTAGGCCGTGGCCGCGTCCTGCTGCTTTGGTTGCCGTTAAAAAGGGACCTACCGCTCCCCGCGTGCTCCGTCTCGCGGCTGATGACCTTCGCTCGGGCCTGCCTGCCTCACACGCCTGGCTGCCCGCTTTGTTTAGAGGGTTGGTGATGTCGCTCGGGTAGCGCAAAGCGATCAGTCGAACATTCGCTCTCCTGCGAGAGCGATTTGATTGAATCGTTCTCACAGTCCTCGGGAAACTCAGCTGGCTGTTGGAAACTTAAATCACAGCGTTTTTGCACCGAATGTTAAATAGGCCATCGACGGTAAAGCTCCTATGTGGAACATATGACCCTACGCCACGACTGTCAACTCCCATGAACCTGGTTTTGAAAGCGCTTTGCGTTGTTTTCAGCTGGGCGGTTACGGTCTGCCGTTCTACGTCCTTGGTGGCGTCCTGCTGCTGTGCGTGGTCCTGAACCTGTGGCTCATGCCCTGGATTGTCCGTAAGTACCTGGGCAACGCGCGAACCAGCGTATTCCCACCGTCATGTGTGGCTAACCGGTGGAGCCGCGCCGGGCTTAGGCTCGTTTGTGGGGATCGGAAAGGACACAGATCGCAGTTGGTTGAGACGTTGTCTAAAATCGTCTCGATGTGGAGTGTGATAGCGGATGGTGTCATCATTCGTGTAGGGGGCTGGGGACCCCAGTCGCCGTGATCGTTGGCGTGCTTGCCCTGACTGACAGACGGCGGCATAAGGTTGAAAGTTACGCGCTGAGTTCGCGTTAAATAAGCCGCGGCGGCATCCCCGAACACGGAGCGCCCGCGTACAAGCCGCGCATTTGCCCTCGAGCCCGCCCCGGTGCCTTGTAAACACCTCCGACGGCCCGCACTGCGTAGTGTCTTGTCTGGCAGCGGACCGAAACAGCCTGGTCGCCGCTGTCTCCCCCCCCCCCCCGTCCCGACCTTTGAGGCCCGCTGCCTGGCCAGGCTGCCGCGCGCGGCCATTTGTCACGAGAGGCAGGCGCCGGCTGCGTCCGGGCGTGCAGTGCACTCGGAAACGGAACGCCCGGGGTGCCGCGGCCAGGCGTCGCCCCGGTGTCGTGTCTCGCGCCCGCGGTCGCCAGACGTGGCAGTGCTGGATGGCTATCTAAGCGGGGTCTTGGAAGCCGCGGACGGCTTTGGAACGTTATAAACACATGTCACGGGGCATGTGCGAGGAGGGTTCCGCCAGCCGTAAATCGGTTGGTGTGCGTGTGGCACGTGTCATAGCGTGTCATGCCGCGTGATTCCACCGGTACTCGCGCGGTACGCTGTTAGAGCTGTGTGAGACGTGTTTCCACTTCACGAGGGCTGTATGCAGGATTTCGCTGTGGGGAGGCAGAGCGCAACTCAAAATTTTGGAATGAGGGAGCTTATTTGAGCGAACCGCAGGCGCTCAAAATGTCGCCGGCGTAAAACGTCATCGCATATCTTGAGCATATAAATCCATACAGAAAATGGGAAGGGGACACTCACCCGTGGTAAACTTATTGGTAGACTATATTTATACTGCTGTGACTTATTACATGATGCCAATGACGACGGCTTCCATTGCGGCAATGTCGCGGGTGCTCACAACTGCGGTGATAGCGGTAGTTACAGTGGAATGACGTCGGTGGCGACGGCGCTGGTACGACCGTGTCGGTCGGTAAGCCGACGATTTCAGCGGTAACGCTGACCTCGACCGACCTAAGGTCAGCATTGCGCCGCCGATGTAACGAGCCCGACGGGCGGCCGGTGCGTCGGCAGACGACGCTGAGTCTCGTCCGGACATGGCTCGGATGGCGCGCGTGCTGGTCCGCTCGCCCGAGAACTGGCTCTGCATGTTCGCGCTCATCACCATCTCCATCAACTGGTCGGCCATGGAGCCCGGCATCCAGCCGTACGCCACCAGCAAGGTCAGCGCGCAGAGTCCGCCGTCTGCTGTCCATGCCGTTTGCAACGCTGGTGCGCGGCCTCCAGGACGACAAAGCGCGTCATGCGCGCGCTGGGCCGTAGCGATTTTGTTGTGTTTCGGCAGCAACTTGAATGAAGCTACAAGACCAGCGTATGGATCGGCCCCTGACGTTTTGAAGTGGATTAAATTGACCTTGTTTCGTATCACTCCGCTCATTGGATAATGGTATTGGTGGGCCGCCAGTTGCCATCCTTAAAACTGGCTACTTCAAATTATCTCTTGCTAACAGATACTACCATGACAGCATTTATGGTGAATTACTCAACCCTTTGTTCACGTTTGATTGTTGATTTGTTTAGTGGGTTTCACATTTCTTAGCTGGAATTGCCACGGCCACCAGCGTTTCAGTGAGTAATGCTGGCCTTACAGTAAGGTTCTGTGCGTGGTGGTGGACTGGGCTGGGCATTCTTGGTCACGCATGAATGGCTGACGGGTAGATACAAAAATAAGGTTAGTCTATATAAAGCAAAACAGCTGGTTTACTTCTGACGTGTTGGTACCCTCTCTTTTAGAAGTCCCACGCGGCTTCCAAAAAGCGACTGGCAAGTGACAGCTCTACTTTTTTGACGCGTTGGCTAATCGTTTTTGAGCGGAAGCTGCTTCAAGCAGACCGAGACCTTTGCCCTCAACGCCGCCATTTCAACATTTTCTGTTTGGCAATACCGTTCCGAGTGGACGTCGTACTGAAAGCGCTCCGCACGCATCCTTAAATGTGTGTGTGTGGGGGGGTCCCACTTTCCGCTCGTTCTTGAGCGGCATCAACACGATGGGGTGGCGGTACAAGGTTTGTCATGTGGTCATTAAGAAAATTTGCTTCCAGCGAATCAAAAACCAACACGATCGACTGGCACTTTTTGTAATAGCCTAGCAAAGCCAGCCCACCGTGCATCGCGATCCGGAGATAGCTCGGAATAACACGGCGTGGCAGACGGATGGCAGACGTCCGCGGCGTGACAGATGTGCCGTCCGATGGACGCACGTGTCTGTGGATTAGGTCTGTTTGTGACGCTAATGTGAGGACGCGGGCTGTCGTGGAGCAGATCCGTTGCTCATTTGCACTTTGCACCCAATCACGTCACAAAGTCGGCCCTCCTTTGGAAGTTGTGATCATTCGCGGAAGGACACCGAGGGACGGAAGGCCCAAGGTCCGAGCGCTCCATCCGGCTGCGATCTTAAACATGTGCGCTGACGTCTGGCTGACGTCAGTCTTCATCAGAAGACCTGTGGCAAGGTCAAAATGTGTATCAGAACAGCCGAGGTCATCGTAGTCGATTCTCTCAAGGTACCGTACATCTGCCGTCAGCGATCGGGCTCAATTTGATATTGTTTGGCCCCGAATCTCAACAGTTACATTATAATGTGCAGTGTACTGCCCACGATTACGGCACTGAACAGGCTTCACGCATTGGCCCATGTGTGGCGTGATATCAGCTGATAGTTTGCCAGCTTAAGGGTGTTGATGTTTTTGATAGCCAGCTTTTTGGTTTGTAATCGCTCACCGCGTAGATTCTCGATTGTTTGCCTGGTTTCACTCTTAGATTACTGGACCTATGGCTATCGTAACTCAGTAGTCATTATCATCATGAGGGACCATCATCCAGGCATTATTATCTGAAAACGTCTTGCCTCCATCGTTCCTGAGAGCAAAGATGGCATGGGGCCAGATTGTCGCACCCGTCCCCTCCCCCCCCCCCCCCCGCCCACCTCAGGGCGTGCCATTTTGATAGCCGGTGCAGGTCGTGTGATCAAGTGGCGAGCTCGCCTATCTCCGCTGGCAACAGGCCATATCTCGTCTGTTTCCTCCACATCAGCCAACCGTGAGATGAACAGACATCCGTCGTGGGCCTAGCGTGTTAAACCTCGGCAGAACCGTCCCGTCGCCAAGCGCTCTGTTGACTTCAGGAAGCATTCGTTAACGATAACGATGTTGACATTCCAAGCGAATCATGGGTTATCCAGCGTCTGAGCGTCCGCGGAGGCGTTTTAACTACATGTAATGTATCCCCTAAACCTTCAGGACTGATGGCAATTGGTATCAACGCAAGCTTACTCTTTAGTCATAGATATTCAGTTTCATCAGTCTTAGATAAGACAGCAGTATTAGCCTTATTCCTCGGAAAAACCAGGAGAATGGAGATAGTTAGGTTGATATTCGGCAACGTGCCTTTATCGGAACAATAGCAGAAGTTGTTTTCGGCAAAAGCATCTTGCCAAAATATTTACCTAACTATATCTCCATTCTCCTGTTTTTTTCCCCGAGGAATGAGGCTAATGCTACTGTCTGATGCGAATAATGTTCCCGGCTAATGCACTGAACAGCTTACGTATATCATCTGTCTTACTGTTAATCGGACGGTGGCTGAGAGGGTGTGTGTCGCAAGGGCGGTGGATGTCGGCGCTACCAAACCGTTTTGAGAGTATCCCGTCCTTTTTGTTGGGTTGTATGTTTGATTAGACCACTGAGACATCCTTTTTGTTTGGTATATATGATAAGGCTACAGAAACAAGCGAACTGTTGCCTTATCAACATGCTTAATCGTACCAGCTACTTGTCTCGTCCTTTGTGGTGGCAGGATCAGGTCGCTGACGCATCCCGGAAGATCACCGTTCTTGCATTAGCTATTTCCGATGTCATTGTGTTACCCGATTCCCACTTTATGTGCCGCACATTAAGCAGCAGCAAGCGCGTGGAAGCCGAACTAAGTCACCGAGGGAGCCTCTCCGAAATCTCTGAAAGCCCGCGTGTTTTTCGGAGTCATGTCCTTGTTTGCGTTGTTCGTTAAATGATGTCATCGGTCCTGTGACCTGTCAATTGATAACGCCGTGGTCGTCTTGCATTTCGTGCAGGTTTTGCCTCTCTTTTACGATGACTTCGCTGTAACAAACAACGGCTTATTGGATGACCGCGCAGGCAGCAGAAAACACAGCGTCACATGGCGACATCGTTCTCGCTGGCGTATTTAAACCAGCTGTCGTTAACACTGCTCTACATCTGGGGCCTTTTCCCTTCAGCTGGGCATCACGGTGCCCCAGATGGGTCTGTACTTTCTGGTGGCGTCCGGCGCATACGCTCTGATCAGTCCCATCTGGGGTAAGCTCGCCGACATAGCGACCAACACGTATATTCAGGTGAGGAGTCCGATGTGGGGGCGCTGGTTTCGTGCACTGATTGACCCCCCTAATTGTATTAATAGTAGGAATCTAGCTATGACTGAAACGCACCATCATAGCACGCATCTAGTTAAGATAAAATCGATCAGTATCGATGTACTTGCTTGCCAAATCTAGCTGTGATGCTTTCAAATTTTGTGCTAAGTTGAGAAGTGGGACGAGCCAGTGACTTTTCTCGCCGCCAGATCAGCCCTCTGAACCTCCATGCTCACTTCACTAGTTGCGTGGCGTCGAAGTTGCATACAAACCGTGCGGCTTCCTTATATTTCGGCATGCGCATCATCCGGTTGTGATCGTGATTGTGATTTACAATTACAACTGGACTGCAACTGGATGTGATTTTTACGCCGGGCGCTCTTTGCCTTTTCTTCCTTTTGTATCTGCCCTCTTTAAATGTGTTTAGTCGCGTCCCGGCCCGCCCCAGCGAGGTGTCTTCGTCAACAACAAGCACACACCGGAACACTGCACTGGCCGGGCTCCGGCGATTTGTGTCTGAGACCGGGTTTTCCTCCGGGATAGGGCCGTCTTCCGAGACTGAAATGTCCTCCGGGACCGGCCTCTGTCCTCTGGGATCGAACCGTCCCCTGGACCCGGGCTGTCCTCTGGGACAGTTCTGTCCTCAGGGATCGGATCGTCCTCCGGGATCGGGCCGTCCTCGGGGACAGGTCTGTCCTCTGGGATGGACCTGTCCTCTGGACCCGGGCCGTCCTCTGGGACAGGTCTGTCCCCGGGACCGGGCCGTCCTCGAGGACAGGTCTGTCCTCTGGGATGGACCTGTCCTCTGGACCCGGGCCGTCCTCTGGGACAGGTCTGTCCCCGGGGCCGGGCCGTCCTCGAGGACAGGTCTGTCCTCTGGGATGGACCTGTCCTCTGGACCCGGGCCGTCCTCTGGGACAGGTCCATCCCCGGGACCGGGTTGCGGGATGACTGATCTCGCCGGAAGCGTGACGAGATCGCGGCCCCCACGCAGCCCGCTGTTTAGCCATTCGTTACTTCACTGGGCGGATGAGTCCGCTAGAATGTTTGGTTTCGAAATTGAGACATCATCCAAACAACTTGCACTTGCGGCCAAGTCTTTTTGATCGTTATGAATCTAGTTGATGTATTTCCAAACGGTTAACCCCTGCTATGGATAGTTATCATGTTGTTTATTCCGGGCCATGTGTCTGCTTAAGCTGCGTCCGGCGAGATTCGGCCGATTATCCTCCAATCTCATCTTTGCGCGGACAAGTCCTGCGTATGGTCCAGATCGGTTGCAAGATCACGGCCGGCATGAAACATTTTCCGTCTCCATCGCTTCTCCATAACGCGAGAGACACGTCTGCTTCCGTGCGTGGGCGGCCGTTGCAGTCTGTGATTATCTCCCCCTCTCGCACCTCATGCGGTGCCATGCCGGAGTGGATACAGTGACCTAACCGTCCGGGCCGGCGGCCTGTCCGCCCCGGCCGGACCTGACCTGACTTGACCGGCAGACGTCGCTGTGTCTGGTGGGCTCGGCCGTCAGCCTGCTGGTGCTGGCGCCGTCGCCGATGCTGAAGCCGCTGCAGCCCACCTGGCTGCTGCTCGGCGTCGGCATGACGCTGAATGAGGTCTTCACTGCCGGCGCCTTCATCCCGCACTTCAGCAACATGCTGACTTCGACCATGTGAGCTTCGCTTGCCTCCATCCTCCCGTGACGCGTGCTATGTTTGCGGCGTTGGAGGGGGATGTGCATGAAGATGTATGTAGCGATCATAGTGGTGATAGGAATATCTCATTCCAAGAACGTTCTCAGCAGCGGTCGTCTGCAGCGCGTGTCCTGGCTGGACGTAACAGTGGGTGGCGGTGCCGCAGTGCTCACGGACTGGAGGACGACGTCGCCACCCAGTCGTTCGTCTCCAGCGTGTGGTGGGCCGTCTTCTCCATGGGGTGCGTCGCGCTGGACGGCTTCGGAGGATCATTGTCGGGGCTCGCGCCGTGCGCTGCGATGAAGCCAGGCCGGCCTGTTCTGAACGGGATTGGTAGACTGTTGATAGTGTGGTCGTGTGAGAGTGTGGCGGCTGCATCGTGTTAGTTTGTTGCTTCATCATGATGGTTAGGGGCGTGCGCACGATAGGCGGGGACCTGAGACTGTGTCGTGTCCTTCGCCGGCGTGGGGGTCCTCGGAACATCGGATCTGGCTTGAATTATGTGCCCGCAACTCAGAAGGGCGCCTAATTTTACAAAGCGTGCTGAGGCGACTAAGATGTCAAGGGGATCGAAATGCCACGGTTCCGAGGTTCAACGCTCCATGAAAAGACAGGATAGAGCAGTGGCATGGACCCCTGTACCGCGATTAGTGATGTTCCGGTTGCGGGCACGGAAAGTGCAGTTCTGTGCTTTTCAGGTCCGTGTGTTCGTGCTAGGCTTACGTTTTGTTTCAGTAAGAACTGACGTGCTAGTCATTTTACGGCTTCTTATGCGTATTTCAGGAGCGTGCTGGGACCGGCGTTCTCAGGAGTAATCACGGAAGCCTACAGCTTCCCAATCATGATGACATGCATCGCTGTCAATACTTTGGGCTGTGTAAGTGCAGGGCCTAAGCCTTTTCTCGCACAAATGTCAATCCCGTCAGTGGCTGCGTGGTAAGACGGCTCGAAAGGGGTAAGCCTCCGTGCATTTGGAAGGTTCTGCATTCGAATACAGCATAGCTAAAACCATGCGTGCCTTTAATTGCCGGCAAAGTCATTCATACTTATATTTGCGTTCACAGTTAACTGTCTTGAGTAAGATGTGGATCCAGAGAGACCATTGTCTAAAGAGTAGCGAAATTAATCTACACGGGTTGCATCTGTTACCGCTGACAAAGTGGTGCTTGTACTAAACAAATCCTCCAGCCAATGCGAAAGGTGGACAATCACTGCATGCTAAGCACAGTCGTGAATATATTTTCATCTGTCTTGATCCACTCCTCCATGGTACAGCTTAAGGCAGTCGCTCATGGCCCGGCGCGGCCCTCGCTGACGTCCGTGTCCATCGCAGGCGTTGCTGACGATGCTGCAGGCGTGCCACGTCGGCGGCGGCTGCTGCAGGACGATTCGGAGGAAGCTGGTCGGGAGCCGTAGTGATCCAGAGCGGCAGCCGCTACTCGATGGCCGCGACAGGCGCGCTAGTGTGTAGCCCGACCGCAGCGCCGCCTGTTGGTGTACCGCCAATGTGCGGTTCCGATTTCAGCCGATAGGATCCGTACACTGCGTGCGCCGCCGTGTGAGATATGAGGCCAGTACACAGCTACCGGATGTGCACGTCACCAGCAAGAAGAGGCTGTGCTGAATTGTATGTTAAGTTGACGCCATATGTTGCTTATAAAGCAAACGATACGGACGCATGGCAATGCTGGCGTTTTAGCGCGAACTCCCTGTTATGTGAACATGGACCCCTACACGCTAAGGTATTCCATGAAGTCCTAGGGACTCCTGCGCGAACCTGCAGGTAGTATTCACTGCTCCTTAGGCTGTAAAGTGTAATCAGTGTGTGTGTATATCGCGACAATATACAGTATAGCGCGAAGCTGAACCGGCACGTGTGTGAGTAGGTCTTACCCTTCCTACATTGACCGTTTAATATTGACCAAAGTAAGGGTGAATGTCGCGGTCGTTTACAGTGGTCTGCACTTCACTGGTCCGTTGAGGTCCGGGATTTGTCACTGGTGGCACCATACAATGCGATTGCGCATCCGCGTTTATTGCATTCCTTTTGGAATGCACTAAACGCGAATGAATTCCTTTCGGAATGCACTTAGAAAGCTGGGCGTGCGACGTACGCACATGTATCAAGCATGAACTTGATTCCTAGCTTATTCACGGCTAGCCGGCTGGACGGTGTGATCAGCTGGTGGCTGATCATAAATGCATCATTTTTGCCTTGTCGTTTGTGGAGGAAAAAATATCCTAGCATTCAAAGTATTAACGGAACGACATGACAGACGTCAGATGCACGTAAAATTAGGTCCAACAACTGCGCGTAAAAAAGTCATCGGCTCATATCCAGCTGCTGCTCCAAGGCCAACGTGGTGCACCCCTGAACGATCGGGAGTACCCCAGCAGGCTGACATATAGGGACCCGGCCAGAGTGCAGTGCCCTCTGAGCAAAGATAATTGCTCAGGAACAGTGTGTGTGCATAAGTGGCTCTGTGCGACAAAAATGCTCGGACGGGTTAACAGAAAGAGCCCGATGTGAGTGCAGGGTCCCACGCAAATGAGATCAAAGCAAACCAACAATCTGCATCAACCTGAACAAGCCATGCTTGTCTGGAAATGTTCAACATTCAGTCAGAATCGATTAGTGATGCAAATAAGGTACGTAGTCTTGAACATGCGCGCTCGCAAAACTTGACGACAAAAACCTCGACGCCAGGCGACCGCGCAGCGTCGGCCCCGCGGCTACCTTAAGCCGTGGCCATCGGGTGGACGAAAATGATGACGCATCTGAAAGGAGTACCGTTGAACGCTCTAAGACATCAAATCGCGCAGTGAGAAGGTAATTCGGGCGCATATTTCATTAGTGCGGTTTTTGGATTGATGTGAAGAGCACAATGGTATTTACAGCAACGCGAAGTGGTGCTGGTATTTACTGCACCGATAAGTGGTGTACCTCCCTGACGCGGTAGATCTTCTGACCCGCGCAGCTGGCCTCGGATCGTCGCAGGAATCCTCACTGACGCAACAGCATTCCTGGCCGCCGCAGGTGGTCCAATTATGGGCTCATAAACTCCAGTTCGGCTTGACGTGCCCGTGTTGGCATTGGGTTGGAGGGCCCGCCGTTCGGTACCGGGGGTCCTGACTGGTACAGGACCCTTCCATTGTCTCAATGTGAACACTCATCATGAGTTACAATGCTTCCTTTCATTGTCGGAAGGCCCCGACCAATGCTGGAGGTTTCTGCCATTTGGTCCGCCGTGCCCGTCCATGTTGGATAAATGTTCCCTTGGGCGACTCGAGGCTCCTTGTTGACATAGAACATCCTGTTAGACACTGGGCCTCCGACCGAATCAGAAGCTCCGCATTATCGCAGAGGCCCCGACCAATACAAATCGCGGACCAGGCCTTGTCCCTGCTTGGGAAATGGGCCCCAAGAGCTCAGATCGACGCGGAGTCGACTGTTCGGTACTGGTGATCTCTGGTCGAATAGAGAAACGCTCTGTCTCAGGGGTCTCCAATCGGTACAAGAGACCCTCTAACTGACATTGGAGATCACGGCCCTACGGGTAGGTGTACTAAATGTGACCTACAGCCAGTCGTTCGAGCCCTTCAGCCCCCCAATTCGGCCTTTGATCTTTGGTCCCGATGGGCCGTTCGTCCCCTCTTCGGACCTCCTCAAACAAAGCCTGTGACCGAAGCGGGCCACTAGCCCACACATGACCTCCTGTTAGGCACTGTGGACTCCTGGCCGACACAAGGCCCCAGCCGTTGTCTCAGGGATCCAAACCGATGTAATTCGTGGCCCCCAGCCTTGCTCCTGCTTGAGAAATGGGTCTCCAGGGTTCGGATTGAAAGGGACCCAACTGTCCAGTGTTCGCGGTCTCTGGGCGACCGAGACACCTGCATTGTCTCAGGGGGTTTTCAAACGGTGCAAGAGGGCCTCTGGCTCATATTTTAGGTCACAACCATACGCGCCGCGATTCCTCATTTGTCCTACAGTCAGTCCTCCGGGCCCTCATGCCCTCCAACCGAGCCCTTGATCGCCAGTTCCACTGGGCCCCCAGGCCCTCTTCAAGCCTCGCCAAACATTGCCCTTGGTCGGCTTGCGGCCCGTTGCGAACGTAGGACCATCTGTTAGATACTGCGAGCCCCTGACAGATACGAGCGCCGCAGCCACTGTAAAATGTTGGCCCCGGATTTGTGGTTGATTGGGAAGTGGGCTCTCAGGCCCATATCGACACGGAACTGGCTATACGGTACTGGTGGTGCTTAACCGACATATAGCCCCATATTGAACCAGGGGGTTCCCGAGTGACGCGAAGGGCCCTTTGACTGTCATTTGTGAGCCGGTCCCTGCAGGCTGGGGCCCCTGAATAAGACCCGACCGGTACGTCGTGCCCTTAAGCACTCCAATCGGACCCTTCATCGTCGGTACCGGTGGGTCCTCCAGGCTCTCCAGGTCTCCTCGAACACTGCCTCTGGCCGACTCGGGTCCCTTGCCAACACAAAATCTCTGTTAGACGCTCTGGGACCCCTGACAGACGCTGGGACTTCGAACAGTGCAAACCGCTGACCCCTGCGACTGCTTTGGCCTCGTCTCGGAGAATGGATCCCTAGGCCCATGCCGGCACGGAGCCGACGGTGCGTAATTGGTGGCATCCGGCCAGCATATAGGCCCTAATCGACTCAGGTGGCCCCTGATCAGCGTGCAGGGCTTATTGAATGGCACTGAGGTTCCCGGCCCTGCAGGCCGGGCCGTGTAAAGGTCCCTTAATCGTAGGTCACAAGAGGCCCGAAGGGCCTCTCGGAACCTAAGGGGAGGGGCAAGTGCCCCTTGTACCCTCTGCCTGCGCTGCTGAACCAGGGGAGAGGTAGCTCTATCCAGCGTAACCAGTGCGTCACCTGGGGGAGAAAGGGTTGAAAATTGCAAAAATTGTGTAACGTGAATTATGTATGATGCCTCTCGTGACACATGGACGGCCTTCAGGGGCGTAGTTTCGCAAATGAGCGGGGGGACTGCATAGTAAAATACACGGGTGTCGATTTGTCTTTTTGTGGAGGCCCCGCCCCCAACTCAGAGTTGGGTTTCCCCCAATGTTTTAGGCTGGAATACTACAAAAAAAAACGTGGGTGAGATGATCGTGACACAAAGACTATCTTCTTTGATCTTTCTGCCTAGTGGCATCTCGTCTCACTTTCATAGCAAAAAGTCATGGTTGCTCTCACCACAAGACACAAATTGTTACAGCTGAGCGGATAAACGATGCAATGAACTTCACATACCTAGCGCCATAAGACAGGCAATGGTTTGTGAGGTTAAAATGAAAAGCTCCGGAATATGGGGATGACCTAAGTCCTTCATGGCTAACTCCGTCCCCACACCACTCCAACCAAGTGTGTGCCGCCCCCCATGACCGCCATAGAAAAGCGTCATCGACGCCCGAATGTGGCCTCTGAAGGCGTCCCGCCGTGGGGGCACCCGCCTCCACGTGCCGATCAGAAGAGATGCGTGGATCCAGTGCCTGCTCCCTGGATCCAATCCTGCATGACATCTGTATCGCTTAAATTAAAGACCTTTATGCGCCATATGAAGAATAAAAACGTATCTTGTGATTAATCAACAAAGTGGGCCGAATCCGGTGAGAAAGGGGAGGTTAGGTTGTCGGGCCTTCAGTTCGGCCCCGAAAATTGACACCCCTGGTAAAATATGACCCATTCTGAAACCAAAATGTGTCAACAAGCAGGTTTCTCCCTAGATTCTGCCCACTTTCTTCCCAAAATTGGGGGGGCTGAACGCGAAGTTGGGGGGGGGGGGATTTAAAACCCTCCCCCTTCCCCCCCACTGGTTTGGAAACTGCACCTCTGGTGGCCCCAAAAGAAAGTGGGCCAAATTGAGGAAAAATTCGGTTGAGGGAGCTTGTATGGGTATCATTATCCCCCTTACCTCCATCACCAACCTATTTCCCGAAAATACACCGCCGATTTAATTCGACCCGAGGCAGACAACTATCCGCCCGTCATCTTCAGCCAGTTGGCCGCAACAGCTGTCTGCAATAAGAGCGTCGGCGTGTTTGATGGTTGAAGCGGCGCGGGGTGCACGCGGTTGATATTTGCCTGGTATTAACTTATTTGCTCTAATTCTAGTCATCATGTGTGGGGGATTTACGTGCACAAAGAATTCCCTTATAGGGTTGAACATCTTGTACATGGTAAGTGAAATTCGGTGGACTTAAATCTGGTATGCAGGCCGCGTCGCATTCGCCTTGAAACTGCTTTCAGCTGCACGATGAGGACGGAATGTGTGACTTGGAGCGTTTAGTCTAGGATGGTGTGGTTTCGCGAAATGTGTCAGATGGGCTCAGCAAGATGTTTTGTGTGAAATACCTCCCCCCAAGAAGTATGTGCACTGTAGTGGCTGTTTCCCTCACAATGCCTCACAGTCCAAAGATGGAAGTGCAGTCCTGGGCTGCTTAGAATACAGCTATACTAAATATGCTTGTCACAGTAGTGACATTGAGGTTCAGAATGTAAGGACAAGTGTCACTTTTCTGAGTGCAGAGTTTGTTGCATGGTCAGCACCAGGGTTAAGACCTAGCCAGTGTTTCAGTGAGTTATGCTGCATTTTATTTTTTTAATATGAACCTCTAAACATTTTTCATACACAAAAAGATCAGGGCATTGGGCTCTGCCTGACTTCAGGCTGGGCCAATTTGCCTGTTTTTTATGAGGATGGGGGTGAGTGCACCAAGGTCACATAGTTGTCCAGCACCACAGATGGATTTTGTGCAGATTGTGCCTCCCCCGACACTGATAAGGAAGTGATGCCCTTGATAAGTAATTGTGTGTACCACAAATGATTTGCATTTTGCCTCTGTTTTTCAGCACACTGATGGTCATTATTGGCAGCAATTCTGTATTAAATAATCATAATCAGCTTCTGTTTACTTCATACTTGTGTGAGAGTATGGCTGGCGGTTGCCCATTATATTTTTTCGTAATTTGTGGAGTAGCCTCTGTCAGTATTTTCCTTGCATGCTCAGTATGAAAACTACATCAATGCTATGCAGTTCTGAAGTATTTTTGTGTAAAGTGAGAATGGGCAGCTGGGAAAATTATGAATTGTGAGTTGATGTATCTGATTAGTATTTTATCGATTGCAGGTATATAACTTCCCGCCTTTTGATAAAGACTTCATGTTGAGCTTTACATATAATTTGGCCAGACATGTCACGTACAGGAAGTAAAGTGGCTTGTGGCAAAACCACAGGAGAAGTAGGTTCTTCTCCATTTTTATTTTCATTCCAATTTTAATGTTGTTGGTAATTTTGGCTAGATATTGAAAAAATGAAATAAGTGGTGACAAGATGTGATGTGGGGTTGTCTTCCCTATTGTCTAATCAGGCAACCAAAGTTGGGGCTTTAAACATGGTGCTTGAAAAATGGTCAATGTGTTGATAGTTAGTCATAAGAGGATGCATTCAATATGTCATGGTCATGGAAAAGGTATTTTGAAATATGATCTGTCTTTGATATTTCAGTGATATCCATTGGTTATGGATTCTGCATTGTCATGCTCTGCGCTTAGAATGCAACCCGAGTTCACACAATTGTGTTTTTTCCAACCAACAAGTTTAGGCATACATGTTACATAGTTGCATGCCAGGTTGCAACAATGAATTTGTTTTGGTTTGTATGTGCTTTTCATTGCTTTACTAGGCCCTGGTTGATATTTAGCTCATTAGCTTGTAATCCTTGTTAAGGTCTTGAATTATTGGAATGTATAAAATAATGAAGGTCTAAGTATCCATGGAACCACTTTAAGCATTTGTACACACATCTGTTCTTACATGCCCTCCGGGCATTTTGCCCACCATCACTGGATGATGAGGTTCATAGCCCCACTGCCATTATTGAGAACTGAATGAACTGGGGCCAAGCGGAAGGCAGCATTAGATTGTCTTGCAAAACAAAATGCACAGATCCATATTATAGCTGTGCAGATTGTGTTCAATGGATCATTCAAGCTTGTGTGAAATCATTGGATTGGGATGTGTTCTTTCCTTGAGTCTGTGAACACTCTGCCAGTAGTGACAGGGACAGCATTACTTTGTAGCCCTTGACATGTCACATCACTGTGATGTTATCCATCAGTGGTTGTGAACTGAGATGTTAAATCAAGTTAGGTGGGTCAGGGCTTCTTTGCTTGGGCCTCATGCTTGACCCCAAGAACTATGCATTACATTGTAGTTAGGCAGACTAAACCATGTTCATGTCAGGCAGCACCATGTGTCACTTTATATGGCCTGATATTTGTTAAACTGGGTTATAAAGCAAAACACCATCACTGTTAAGATGTATACCCTTCCAAACTTGACCCAGCCTGATTATGAATGGCCAGGCCTAATCTCATTTTGAAGGATTATGTCATCATGCAGCGGGATAAGATGTTCAAGTCAGTGCAAGGAAGTCTTTTAGAATGTATAGTGCATGAAAAGCTAAGCATGGCACCAGCCACCTGAACATGAAATGCTACTAGTGGGACCTCAAGAAGGCATTTGTCACTCGTGACATATGATTGATAGTCTTCAAAGTTTTGTAAAAATGTCCCAAAAAGGGTATGGAGCTTTAAAAAGAAATGTGGAGTAAGGCAACCTCTAAATTTGCTTGCCTAGTGAGGGCTATGCTCAAATATTGTTTAGTGCTCACATACCTCTATTTATATAGTGACATTTTTATATAGTGACACTATTTATATAGTGACAGTGACAAACATTTCCATGATGTTTTCCTGCAGGTTGTGGCATTCTTGTTGATTGGCGTGGCTACCTATGGAAAGACGTCCAGCATCATCACCAGCATAAACGTGGTGGGCGGAATCGTAGCATGCGGCGTGTTCCTGCTCTTCATCGCCGTGATGGGCATCATGGGCGCCATGAAGCACCACCAGGTGCTGCTCTTCTTCTACATGATGGTGCTGTTCCTGCTGTTCCTCGTCCAATTCAGCGTGGCGTGCGCCTGCCTAGCAGTCAACAAAGAGCAGCAGCAGGCCCTGGCGGCCGCCGGCTGGCAGGTGTCCAACAACGACACCAAGACGGACGCGCAGAATAACTTCGAGTGCTGCGGCTTCAACGTCACAAGCAACGCCAACCTGACGCTGAACATGCTGCATCCGCCATGTCCTAAGGTGGGCTGCCGGGGGTGCCGGTAGTGTAGTGGTTAACGCGTCTGCGCTGACCACTGCGCGCCTGGGAAGCCAGAGGTACGGGGTTCGATTCCCCGCGGTGCCCGCCCTTCCTGCCAGGGTGAGGGGCAGGCGACGCCATATAGCCTCAGCAGCTGAGTGCGTCGTAAAGCCCCAATTACACACATAAGGTGGGCTGCCGACGGTAGCACTGGTGCTTGAGTTTGGGCATGCGCCATAGTGGTGAGGATGTCGCCTATGTGTGGTGCAACCTTTGCCGCCCGTGCAGAGACGGAGTTGGCGAGGTTAGCAAGCATACTATCTAAGTGGTTAAAAACATGGAAATATGTGCCATGAAATGATGCTTTAATGAGGTAAAGACATTGAAGAGGAGGAAATGCGCATCATAAAGTGCTGTGAATGAACGTTGCTGACATTCTGGTCGCTGGCCAAGGCTTCTCATATTGAGATCAGCCACACATATCTTAACAAACATACATTAAAAGTTTTCTTGGCTGTCACGTGCATGTTTGTCCTGTCTTCTGCGCCTGCGAGGCGCGGCGTGCGCTTCACGTGATCTGGCAGGGTCCGATGTGACGCCACCGCTCCCCGTCTGCAGCAATGCTGCGCTGCCAACGATCCGTCCGACCAGTGCTGCATGGGTGCCAGCTGCGAATGCCAGCCGTGCTTGGCGAAGGTGGGCGACGCCATCAATTCGGGCCTTCGCGCCAGCGGCGGCGTCGGCCTGTTCTTCAGCTTCACGGAGGTCAGTGGCGGCTGGCCGCAACTCCGTGACGCGTGTGACTAACCCGGCGCAGTGACTGTGCCGCCGCCGCCCGACCCGACCCGCCCCGTGTGTCGCCGCGTGCCTGGTTGGCCCCACTGTTCGCTGCCCGCCCCGCCTGAACGCCCCGACCAACCGCCCCGCCTAACTGCCTCGACTAACCGCCCCGCCTAACCTCCTCGGCTAACCGCCTCGACCAACCGCCCCGCCTAACTGCCTCGACTAACCGCCCCGCCTAACCTTCTCGACTAACCGCCTCGACTAAGCGCCCCGACTAACCGCCCCGCCTAACCGCCGCGCCTAACCGCCTCGACTAATCACCTCGACTTATCACCTCGACTAATCACCTCGACTAATCGTCTCGACTAAGCGCCCCGACTAACCGGCCACCGGCGGCGCTGGTTCGCAGTTCATCGGCGTCTTCGTGACGTCGCGCTACCGCCGCCAAAAAGACCCGCGTGCCCTGTCTCACTCCTTCCTATAGGCGACGCCGGGCGCGTGGGAGCGTCCGCCGCCCAGGTTAGTGCGGCCGCCGCCGACACGGCCGGCCGGCCACCAGCTAGTCCCCTTCGTTCCGGCGGTTCGGCATGGTGGCAGCGTCTGAGCGGGAGCCAGCCGGGCGGCTTTGGCTTGTTTTGGCCGCGGCGTTCGCGTGCGTTGCCAGTTCCGTTCTGTTTTGTTTCGTGTGTTGATGGGATGTTGCTTGCGGTGTCATGCAGTGCGAAATTGTCTACCGTTTGTTTTGTTTTTGTTTTTTTAGGGAACGGACTCGATCCGGACCTCCTTAGCCTTGCGTGTATGCAGAAGGGTTCTTTGCTTTTGCCTCCTGCGCGGTATATTGTTTTATCCTTTCGCCTTTTCGTCATCAATTCTGGTACCTATTTTTGTCAAAAATTTGTTCTCATCTCGTCCGTAACGTACGCTGGTCGTCGACACTCCTGGTTTGACTGCTTTTTCATAAACCACATATCTCCCACATGAAGGTGCTTGGAGTGGTACGCAATCTTTGATCGCTATGGATTCCTTACGTTCGGGATTTGTTTAGGTTTTTTTAACTTACAGCAACGTCCAAATTGTAATGGACGGGCTAGTTGTTGCTGTGTATTCATCACCATATATGCTGATGTCCTCGGAAGCTTATATCATTTGGCCTACGGTCAAGATTGGGACTACGTTTGGAGGGACGCATTTCGCCTTTTTTAGTTTTAGTGTTATTTTTCGCCTGCTCTGCATTAGCCAATATCTGTAGTTTTCCGCGCATGCAGATTCGAGGCAATCTCCACTCGTTCTTGCAACGTGTAGCTTAGACCCGTTTTATTCGCATGTACCAACTTTCTTTGGGATTATTTGTCGTTATCAGTCATCCTATCGCTGGCCGCATGCTGTGTTGCTCCATTCAGTTTTGTTCTGTTTTCGTTGTACAGTACCGTGACTATGTGCCCATCGAATGGACGTTTGACCTGCTTAATAGGAGGGGCGTGAATGGTCTGAATGCCTTCGAGTACGCGGGCCACCTGCTGGGGAACGACCGATTTGAATGATATCATGCGGACCTCCCGAATGTGCATAATACGTTCTTCTGCCAGTGGGAACGATCGGACGCTGGCAGAGTTTTTCGCGAGGCTTGTGAACGGCACGATGGGTTGAGCTGTATGTGTAGCCGTGGCGCACGCTCTGTCGTTGCAATGTATCGGTTAGGTGTCGCTTTCCCTGAGGGAGAGAGCGTCGGATCTCCCTGCACACTCACTCCGAGGCCGTAATGTGCAAGCTGCTCCGAAGTGCTGCGCTGGTCCAGTGTGCTGAGCGGATCGCGGACGGGTGAAGCCACCGTTAGCCGGCGGATGGCCGACCTCGGCGAGCTGTGCGTCTTGTGACACGGCCCGGCTCGTTCCAGGTTATCGGCTTTATCCTGGCGTTCCGTCACCGCCGCCAGGCGGACCCGGACCGTGTCCAGGTGCTGGAGTAGCGGCACACGCACGGGGAGGGGTGTCCGGGCTGGGAGGGCAGGTGGTGGTGTCGGAGGGCCGCCGGGGAGCACGGCAGGTGGGTGGTAGCTGTGATTTGGCTCTGGCTCTCAGCGGAGCGACCCGTAACGGTTCCGACCTCTGGGGAGTGCTAAATATTTAACACGGAGGTCACTAACACTGGTTTTCTGTTTCACTGGAAGTGGTGCGGACATGTCACGCTAGCCGGCTGTCGGGCTGAGGCCCGCTCCTTGACTGGGTCCAGGCCGCTGCTTGGGTGGCAGTGGTCCTGTCCAGCTGGCTCCCAGAGGGCCACCGCGGGGAACACGTCTAACTATGGTGCTTCGATGGCGGCGCTGGAATCGTGTGCCCGACCCGTGCCGTTGGCTGGCTGCGGTCGAGCGAAAAGTTTGATGTTACCACCACTGGCATGCAAAAACATAACGCGAAACTTAACGCGGGACAGCATCGCCTCTCGCTTTTCTTCAGCGTAGTTGAGGCTGCTTGGTGTTTGAGCGTGATATTGCGGCTTGTAGAGTGGTGTGGTGAAAGCTTGTACGAACTATGCATAGAAAGCCCATGTGGCGATGGGAGAAGCGCGAGCTTTCGTTTGTCAACGTACGCCTGTATTGTATATGTGGGTGTTACGCAGGCTTTGTCTATTTTCCGCTTGTCAAGTCGTGGTGAAGAGCTCTAAAACGTATCCATGTATCTAAAAGATGTCTATATATATATTTATGCAATAGCTTAACAAGATTGTATGTTATACGGGAGCCGCTTGTGAGGGTCCTGGCCGTTTCGGTAGTTTGGTGCCAATACTTGTGTGATAGCCAGTATTTTGGATGGTTTGGTGCACAACCATGTATGTGATTGGAATATCTCGTCCTTTTGAAGACGGACATCTTTCGAATCGTGATTTTGATCATTCCACATTGCTGCTGTTGCTGTTCTTATGCCTTCGGTGTTATGGGTGTGGGGATAAGATGTTTGTGCACTGAACAGGTTTCAATAAATTTAGCTGGCATGGCCAAGTGTTGAAGATGTCGCCATCGCTTCGAAACTTTGCTCCTCGGACGTCCCACCTAATAAATGTGACACACGTTTCTCATGGGTTTGCATTTCGTTTTGGCTGCTTGGTGCCGCGACCCGTCTCCTCGCTGCCTGACATCCAACGACAGGTAACGGTGGGCTGTGTTATCCGCGCCGTGTTACATTGCGGGGTTTCTCGGCCCCGCAGCTTTAGCTCAGTTGCACAGCAGCGAACGTCTGACGTATGTGCAGAGGGCGTTCGGGTCGGCGTACCATAGCATGCTGCGGCAGCTCGGTAGCACTGAACTGAAATAGTTCTACTAGGATGGCCAGGGTCTCCGCAACGACATGTGCGATTGTGCCGAGCAGTACCACAGCAGAACCGTGTGGGGTGTTGGGCGGTGCGGAGATATGTTGGTGGCGAAGCTGATGCATGCATTTTTACCTCTTCAAAGTACACAAGATCACATTCCATCCCACGCACGTGCCATCCTGTCAAGGGGGATGATCTGACGCGAAAGTCCGCTGTGTAGGATAGGAGCTGCTGTTGTAAACACAACGGGGGTATGCGGCGTTTTATTGGCATATATAATGTGAAGATAAATGAATTAGTTGTGCGGGCTTTCGCATAGCTCGAGGGCTTCATAGTACCACGATTCCGTTTAGCTACTACTTGATACAGTATGTACGCAGCAGACAAGGGGTGACTGCAGAGAAACATTTCCTGAATTGTGCCATGCATGATTTGAATCATGAGATTCGAAACTCAGCTGCGATGTTCGCTGTCAATCTATTGTTTTATCCAGGCGTGACGAGTGGGGGATCGAACGGGGCAATATAGCCGAAACCAAATCTTAACCCGTCTTGTCTGTGTACTTGACTGTCTGCGTGACATTCAGCAGTTCTTCATGATCATGAAAACGCACGTATTTTTTTCGAGCGATTGTTCAACGGAGTCTAGGATTACGCACTGCGTAGGCTATGTCGGAACTTAAAACTATTGTGCGTATGCAGCGTTTCCAAACTATTGATACGGTCGTCACCGGACTACAGGAGCAGCTCCACGGTTTTTGAATTTGGGGGCAGAATTTTCCTGTGGCCCGGACAAAATGGGACCCTCTTATAGGGGCACAGGGGGCCCACTGCGCAGTGTCGTATTTAAGGGTGTGGGGCAAGGAGGGCGTGTGCTCCCTTTTCAGATGGTTACATGCATTTTATCGAAGTAACTAAATGTCGACAGTGTAAACAATCCAAAATCGGGGTCTTGTAATTGTCCAGCAAAGGGTCTAGCTAACCTCAAACAGGGCCTCTTGTTCCAGAGAAGGGCCTCCTGATCTAGAACAAGACGCTTCAGATTCACGAAAGGATCTCTAAATCAAGCGGCTTAACGCAAAGCAGGGCTTTCTAGTTCGTAGCGGGACCCTCTCGAGTCAGCAAAGAGACCTCCTTGACACAACATTGGACCTCCTTATCCAGAGGATAGGTACCTTACTCATAAGCGGCCACATGATCCAGAAAACAGACTTCTGGATGCAGAAAAAGATTTTCTGAGCCCGAGGTATTACTCTAGCTCAGGTGTGGGAGGTTCTTTGATTTGAAGTTTGGTGCTGTCCAGGTAGCATCAATACTTTTAGGTTAGGAAAGGGGTCTCCCGATTTGCTTGGGGGGACAAAAACCATACTTTTGTCCTGGGGGACAATTGTCCCCTCTGCCCCCACCCTTGCTGCGGCGCCGCTGTCTGACGCCACGTTACTGTGTGCGTGGACTACATTCTAGGTGAACTGTCATTCGGTCCCTGTTTAAAGGTGGGGCAACAGTGACACTGTTCGCGAAGCACGCGGATACGGGCACGAAGTAATGAACGCATCCCAGGACTTCCCGGAGGATAACAACCCTGCGTGGGGTGGTATACACTCCGAACGGATTGTGTGGCGAGTTGCCTCCGCCGCCATGCCCCAGATGGTGCTCTGTGAAGCTGGTATAGCGCGTGTGAGGTGGCAGAACGCCATTGCGGTGAACGAGTTTCGTGCAGTTGGAGAATGTTAGCTCCTTGTTTACGAGCGGTTGTTGCTTTCGCTCGTTGAAAGTCATCGGTGTGCGAAACAGTCCAACATGGAGGCGGGCCCATGCGTATTTTTGGCTCGTTTCTTCGCGATTGCTCTGAAAAAGTAAAAAAGCGTCAGCGACATGACCTCTAGGATGAGGTTATGGATCGTCAGCGCTTGAGGTCAGGATCTTCAAATTTTGACAAGATATGCAAAATCAATGTAAAGTTTGGTATTTTAAATGGCGACACCGTACTCCGGTACACCGGTACTGGGGCCCTTCCATAACTTACGTTACGTATGGATGGTCTTGTATGAAGCGTAACGGAAGCGTAAAAAGGGAGTGAGGGGAGGTTTTGGGCAGCATAACTTTACATTTGGGCGTGCCTGTAAAAAACGCTAAAACGTTCAAAAACCACTCAAAGCCGGATGTTGGTGGCTCCCTGGCATGACAAGAAACATGCACGTTATTTGCTTCGCATCTCTATCTGAATGATGGGCCAGATGGGCGTTCCTTTTTGGGATGTCACACTTCACGTAACGCAACCAGAGGGACGCGGACGCACTGAACGCGGCCGTTCAGTGCACTCAGTACGTGGGCGGGGGAGGCGTAAAAGGCGAAAGTTATTTCTTGGACGGCCCTTCAGAAGTTCTCCGGAAAAAACCTCAGTGGGGTTAGCTTCTTCGCAGGACTAGGGCCAACGCACACTTGGGCGGAGTGGGGGCCAGTCCCCCCCCCCCCCCCCGAAGGTGTTCCTAGAATAATTTTCGGAAGGCGCGGAATAGCCGCGGCAAACTTTGCATAGCTGAAAGTAATTAAATAGCAGATATTTTGGCATGCAAAGGTGTGTACCTTGAAAGGTCGCTGATCTATGACAACAATTGAGATGATCTAGGCTGTAGCTGTCAGCGGGGGAAATTTCTAGGGAATAGTCTGATGCAGCAACTGAATGTTAGACGAAGCTATACATATCTGGGATAGCTTTTTGGGCAGTTAAACGACTAAACCCAGGATTACGACAAAAGCCATTACTCTTTGGTCGGGTACGAAGGTCAGACGGGATTAAAACCAAACTTATTTGTTACTGGACAGCTTCCGTTATGGAGTAGTTTCTTATGTGCATTTTGATTATTTTTATGACAGGGATCGCAACAGACGTCTTTTATTGACTCCTTAAACGTTAGAGTGAGCCACTTGCATGAATTTATCAAGATTAGCCTTTTTATGTGCGTACTACGTAGCGTAATACTTGTCGTTTGTTTAAATTAAAAAATCAAACAATCTCTTACGTTTTTGGTCATCATGACATTTTGAACGTCAAACAAGGCGACTGGCCTGAAATAAATACCAGTGAACTTTTGCTTAGGTGAGACATCTAGATTCAAAGCGGTTGCATGAACAAGTTTGGGGCATCATGGATACCAATCTGGAGTTTGCCCTTTTTGGCCTTACCTGACCTTATCGTAACCTAACATTTTGGGATTAGTGAGTTCACAATACAGGCAAATCACCAGGTGAATTTGGTGTCTCCAGCTCTTTTACTTTTTGAAATATCAGGGGTCAAATTGCCCCCCCCCCTCCCTCCTGCCCCACCCGAGCGCGTGATATTTAACTGGCCATCCGGGTGCGTGTTAAATCTGCACCACGCGCATTGCCCAGCTTTCCCCACGCCGAGGTCGGAAGCGGAGAGCTGGGGCTGGTGCAGTGAAAGCCAGGTCATCGAAACTTCTAATAAAAAAAAAACAGTCTGCAAAGCATGGGCTTGTGCGATGCCGACTACAATCCACGCTTTGAATTCAGTAGCTGCGGTTGTCCGCGTAATCAATGCCACAGATAGCATGTCACGATGGATGCAGCCAGAGACATTTTCCGCGGATTCCGGCCCCTGGCTCAGTGAAATTGACCGCCGCCATCGATTGATACTCTCTTCTGCCCTGAGATGAGGCTCGTTTTCCCACGGGATACGCGCGGGCGCGCCAAAAGTCGTGCTGTAAAATCGATTGATAGTTTGATCACTTTGACGGCTTCAGCCAGGCTCAATCACGGCAATCAGTGTGGCCTTGTTCGGCTCCATGTGAGTGACGGACGAGATTCAAGAAAGGTACAAAAAACGCTATAAATGTGGATGCGTCCCTGAGACCGGCAAATTTAGATTCAAGAATTTCACTGACGTTTGAAGCTGGTTGAACCTATTGACGACTCATTGTATCTCGGATACATGCAACCAAATACCCGTGGTAGTAGGCGGGGTGGCGTGGTGAATACGGTTACAGGACATGTTCCCAAACCCGCGGATTGGCGCGAATATTGTTGGTGCTATGCGCGCATTCCAACCTCCTCTACAATACGGAACGTAAGAGCGGCCCAGAAAGATGGATGGGCAACTTTTTTATTTTCCCCTTTTCATCCATCACCGATGGGTTATGGAAAGTCCCATGACAAGCGTAAATTCGTGCTACCGTCGCCTCGACCCCGCCCGTTCTTCGGCGTGCACTTCTATCCGCACCTAAAGAGCATTTGCCGCTGGCCGGCAAACGCCAGTGGTATGACGTCACCGCGGGAAGCAGCGCTCAGTATATCTGAAAGTCCTTGGCTTACAAGTCTGCTCTGACGTCTCCCCTTGTACTTGCATGTGCTTATGCCTTCGGGAAGCGGTTTTCTGTAGGTAAGGGATCGTCGTTTTGCGTGTGGTGGGATCGCACACATTGATCTGCTTGCGGTCAGGGACGGCACAAGGGAAGAGCAAAGATTTTTGAAAAAAGACTTAACATCGTCCATGTGACCTTTCTGGACCAGCTGCCCCTGCCTAAGCAGATGCTAGGCGCAGACAAGCATGATTTACATGCGATAAGCAATTAGGACGGTGAGAGACGAGCGAAAGCTGACTTCGGATTATTGGCACAATTATCAAGTAGAATGACGTTTGACTGTGTTTAGTTCATAACCGCATAAACACGTGGCCGTCGTAGTGCACTGGCATGTGCACGCAATCGACCATGGTACATCTGTCGTCTCAGCGGAAAGGCAA